AAACTCAGCACAACTTCTCTTTATACTCAGACTCGTCTTAGTTTCAAGCCTTTTAATTTAATTTCAGCTCTACGCTTCAACTTAGATTAGTTTAGCAATTCGGTTCTTCGTTTGTCGAATTTATAATGGTGAGTTTCGCTGCCTTCAGTAATATTTCTTTGTAATCGAATTGCTTCCTTTCCTTTATATTTGTTTTCCAGATTTCCTTTAATTTAATCAAATGATGTCGACGTTTAATTTCATGTTTCAGTTCCATTTCCATTAATTTACATTTCATGCTGCCAGTAGATTTTTCATGCTTCGGGCTTTATTTACTTTAACTTTATTTACTTCTGCTGCAATTAAATTTCCTTTTAAGGCTCTGTTTCAATTCAGTTTGCGTATTTAAAGTTCATTTAGATTTTCAGTAATTTAGCGATCATTTATTTACCTTGCAGTCTTAACTTTTCTTGATTGCATTAGCTTTTAGGAGTCCTTGGAATCATATCCAGGGCATTTTGTCGCATAACCCATTTAGTGCAGGAAGTTCATCCCTCGTTTCTGCCAATCGTCTGATATTTAAGGTGCAATTCACGATGTTCTTCCATCAACTCACAAGTTGAGTTCCACACTTGGAAAGAAGAGAGGGTCGTCTCGGAGAAATCTTTCTTGTTTTGAGCAAAGCAAGTGGCACGCCATTTCATCTGCCACGTGTCAAGGAGATTTTTTGAGAAACAATGTGGGAGACTTGGCAAAAATAAAATAATAAAAATAATAATAATGGAAAGACAAAAAGCCACACTCTGTTCTTTTTCAACCATATCATTTATTTATTTATTTGAACACAATTACAAATTTTTTTTTTTTGGGTCCAATAGAACTGTTTTTATATTTTAAGGAGAGCTTACAAAGACTTCTACGTTCTATATTTAGCACTTATTTATGTTAATTGGTTTTTGCCCCTTTTCTTTCTCTTATACCGTTTAATTTTGGAATAAACAAAGACGAGAGGCAAATTTCTCGTGAATTTATTTTTTCTATTTCGACGTGACTGACATATTTTATGTACGACTCATGTTCATATGTGAAAAACCAAAACAAAAAAACAAAAATGAAGTAAGAAGTACATCACTTGCGTAGTCACAAGTAACATCACAAACCATAAAATAACCAAATTTCTTTTACACAACAACCAAGCAGGCCTTCACCGAAACTTAACATGAGGACATGTGCACTGACTAATGCACAACCTAAACGATTCGCTTTGCCTCATTGATTATGCCCCCTATTTCTAGGGATGGTTTGGCGAGACCATGTCTCAAAATTAATATCATTTGTTTCATATATTCCTTCAATTATTAGCTAGGGGCAGCAAACAGATACATTCATCCTATTTCTTCAATTGGTTTTATACAATCGATATGCGCTTTTTATGGGGGGAATTGCTCCCAAGAATCAAACTTTCCCCAGTTGATAAGATCGTGTTTGGGTGCATTATTTTGTCGAAGATAATATTTAAGATAAAGTGGGACTAGGATTCTGCTATGCACCATTTGACCTCCAAAATATACCCATTATTATGATGTGATATACAACACTAATGGTTAAGACCTTAGCATCACCAGTTGTGTTCTTAGTGATTAAGACCCTTCCCTAGTTATGTTCTCAAGGTCTTGAAAATGAAATGCAATCAGTCCAAGGTCTCAGTGATTTTTTTTTTTTTAAATAAAAGAATAAAAAAGCTTCTACGTAAACATGTCTACAAAAAGCAACCACTAAACCAAGATGTCGATGGTTTTTTTAGGAATCTTTTATATAAGCATGACCTGCCCAAAGTTCGGCATCAAGTAGGGTTTAAGGCAAGCCTTTGTTTCAGGGGGGCAAAAGAGGATGGAAAGGGTCTCTCTCTGTTGTATTGCAATATTGGGCCATCAGGTTTCCACCATACACGATCACTTTATTTATTTAATTTTTTTTTGGTTTTCCGCCCGGTATCCGAGGCTTTGCCCTGACAAATCCGGACCCGACCCGCGTCGCACACCTGGAAATGGTGGGTAAGTCTCCCAGCGGGGGCTGCTGCATTCACAAGGTCTCGAACTCGAGACCTTGCTTAAGCTGGAATAAGCCGCTTACCACTTGATCCAACCCCTCGTTGGTTACACGATCACTTTATAGCTGCTACGGTTTGAAACAAACACAGCTTTTTAAGCTAAGTACTGTAAATATTAGATTGTCACTACACATAATCACTGCATGCCTACTCAAAGGATCTATTCAATGGAGTCAGTGATGTGCCTTTCAAAAAAAAAAAAAAAGACATACAGTGATGATCTAGCTCCAGGTGTAGGAAGACACTGTTCCAACTAAAATTGCAACACCATATGCTATTTCAAGAAGTGAAATAAAACTCTAGAAAACCTGTCAAAGGTAAATTAGAGAGTAAAAGGATATTAAGAAGTTACTACATGTTTGGATTGAGAGAAATAAAGGAAAGAGACCAGTTTTCCTCCACTTAAACAAAGGAATTCTCTCCTTTCTTTTCCCCTCATTTACTTCAATCCAAACACGAGTTGTGCTTTACAGCTGTTCTGTATAGGATCTAATTCCAAATATGTTGTCTATATATCCTTCAAAAATCCATTTGGAACATAGGACAGACACTCTTACTTTGGTTTACAAGAAATTGAATTATTGCAGAAAACAGACAAAAAGAGAGTATAGTACTCATCAAAATAAAGAGAATCATTTACTTTAAGCAATGCTATAACAATTGAAGAACTTTATCAATGCTGTTGCAAAAGTTAGGGGTTTTAAAATGGCAGCTAGTCTTCTAAGTACACGGATCTGGAAATGTCAGAAAAAGTAGAGTTAAGCAGTATAGGTGATGCAGTCATGGAATAACCCTTGAAAGAATTGCTTACATGATTAGAAGGGATATATTATAAAATGTCAATAGAATGTAGTACCAAGGACAAACTATGTTACTTATTCTATTAAAATGATATATCATAGTCAATTCAATTTTCAAGTGAGGAAAGAATGAGGGAAAACAAAGACCTGTATGTGAAGATATAAAGCAAGTTTCACAGTCACTGCTCGAACAGCTAGGATGCGCAATGCAACAAGCCATATGTCGATGATGATTCTTCCTTCTGCACATATCCAATGATGTGCGAACCTCTCTCTTTTTGTATAATTTAAACAACATGGTCTGGGAAGAAGAATGTAAGCTTGGCTGACAATACCGGACAAAAAGTGGATGAGGATAGTGCAAGAGGAAAAGCTCCTTGTGCTTAAGGTTGTTTTCAATAACAACATGGAAAAAAGATAAGCCTCTGAATTATACAGGAACTTTTACTATTTGCAAATAGGTTACTGCATTATTACCAATCAAGTATTTGTTAGTCAGCCATCTCTAGGATAAAAAGGGAAAAAGTATATGAATATAATCATGAAAAAATTTTATGAACAACATTTGCAGAAATTGTAGCAAAACTTTAAACCTGCTTAGGGAGGCTATTGAAATTGCAAGAAAAAAAGAGGCAAAACATGTAATTGAGAGTGCCATATAATGAATGCCTATGGATTGTAAGTTTATGTAAAAATATTGCAGTTGCTATGACTGCAGACAATAAAAAGTAGAGAAATGGAATCATATGAATATCTTTTCTCTAAAAAGCAAAAAGGGCAAAGACCAGCCTACAGAGATTATTGAAACAAAATTAAACTTAACAACTCAAATGTCCATTAAACTTTCTAGAGGAAGGACTAAATTTATTTTATTTACATCTGTAACAGGACTAAAAAAACAAAAATACTGCAGAATTGTATAAAAAAAATGGTAGTTTTTCTCTGCACAACCTAAAATAATATTTAGTTATTTACTCTTCCATCGTAGATAAAGAGTTATCTACTTCAGTATATTGAAAATTATGCCAAAACCTCCGAAAAGATTAATAAGCCATGTAATTAAATGTACAAGTAATGTAATAAATAATAGGTATTAAGCAGTCTATTAAGAACTCAAATCACAAAAAAGACACTAATGTAACAACCACCACATAATCTCTTAATTGCTAAAAATGGCACTTCCAACTCTTGACATATCTCTTAATTATTTGTTTCAATCTTCATTTTTCCTGGACCAACCATCACATATACCTTATAAGAACCAAGCAGCAAAGTACGAACTACCATGCAACCCACTAACTATACATAGAAAACAATATTTCTTCATGCTTATTTCTTTAATTTTTTTTTTCATAGAAAACTGTGTGCATTATCTATGTAAATGTTGTCAACTTAACTGCATTTAATGGAGTATGGATTGAAAAGCCTGACTCTGCTACTAATTGGAAAGTCATATATACCAAACAATAAACAAGAAGAAAAATTGAAGGGTATGAATATTGAAATACCATTAATTATGAATAATGTTATAAGAGTAGATTATATGACATGATTATTCTATCCGTGTCTGTGAATCATGCTTGTCCAATTTTAGGGAAATTCTAATGCCCCATTTTAGTTCCAAGCATCAGCACTCTAATCCAGACCACAAGATATATTAAGTTATGGGATAAGATTCCGTACTTATATGAAAGTGGTCTTTCAGTTGGAACTGACTAGTAACATTGATTTAGAATTAAGTGCAATAATTAAATCAGCTTAAGAGTGAATTAATAAATTTAGCCCGACCCTAATATTGAACCACAATGCAGCCCACTAACTATACATACATACAACATCCAGAATAGCTTACTCTTGCAACTAAACTCCTATAGGCATTTCTTTGATTCCAAAATTTGTACCATTGCTACAGATTCAATACAATCTTGTTCAATTTTAATTATGCTAACCTCTGCAATCTCTATGTGTCCTTAAGAATGCTCAATTGAGAGCTTTAGAACCTTCATCTCCCTGCGACTCTTTAATAATAAGTTAAATGCTATTATCCAGCTAGCTAAGAAAATGTCACCCTAAATGAATGAAACAAAAGAAACAGCAACTAAAAGGATGCTGATTGGTGCACACCCGGTGTTGACCCGGGTGTGC